GGTTTAGGGTTCAGGGTCTAGGGTTTAGGGTTTAGGGTTTAGGGTTCAGGCTTCAGGGTCTAGGGTTTAGGGTTTAGGGCTTAGGGTGTAGGGGTTCAGGGTTTAGGGTTTAGGGTTCAGGCTTCAGGGTTGAGGGTTTTTAGGGTTTAGGGTTCAGGGCTTAGGGTTTAGGGTTTAGGGTCTGCTCAGCACTGGCCTGTGTTAAAGGAAATTTCAGGTGGGGAGTTTAGGGTATGCAGGGCTTCTATAAGGCTTTCATAAGATATATAGACCTGCTATAAGGCTCCTACAACGGTCACTACCCATGCACCTGAAAATGTCCTAGGTTTTGTTTCGGGTTCAGCGGGATCGCCGCTTTCTCCCTGTTACGGCTGCGACCTGCTATCATCAGGCTGAAATGTTGCTGCATTCAGTAGTAAAGAACAAGTGTCATTGATTGGGGCTTAAAACAACCCAATACCTAAAATCGAAACCTCTCCGTGAAATCACAAACCCCCTCTAACCAACAAAACCCACAACAACCCCTTGACCCTGCATCTGAACTTCGAGCTCGATCCAAGAAACCCTAAACCCTGGACTCTCGACTCAAAGCCCCAACTACACCTGGGTTCAAACTCACCTCACTCACGTAACCTTGAACTCAAAGGCAAAGAATCCTAAACCCTAAACTTCCTAAACCCTGAATCCTAAACTTCTGAAACCTGAAACAACACTAAACCCTTAGTCTTCAACTTCTTAAACCCTAAACTTCCTAAACCCTGAATCCCAAACTTGATGAACAAACTTCCTAAACCCTGGGGCTTAAGGCTTAGGGTTTAGGTTTAGGGTCAAAGGGGCTGATTAAAATAGGGGTCTGAATCAATAGAATAGGGCTTTGGGATGTGAAGAATGGGTTTTGGCAAATATTATACCAAAAGTAATTCAAGAACCCCAAAATAGCATTGGTGTGGAGGGTCAGGCTTTTGCCGTCGACAGGCCAAATCCTATTGAACTTAATCGTACCGTCCTGACGTCCTGAGCCTGTGCAAGGCCCAAAATAAACTGTTTATGGTTTCGCACCGAGTCGCTCAATGAGTTCTTTGAACGCAGCGGGGTGCATCTCCCAGTTGGGTAGGTTGAAGTGAACCTTGGCTGGGTGCGCCCCGAAGCACCACATACTCAACCCCTAAACCCAGAAACCCCTAAACCCACAAACCCCTAAACCCTAAACCTTAAACCCCCAATGCCCTAAACCCCAAAGCCACCGAACCCCCAAACCCCAACGCAACAATGCACTTCAAATCTTGGATGGTTCTACAAGGTAATATACCTTAAATCATATAAGGTATCCTATTATAGTTTTATGGTATATTCCTTAATCATGGGATTTTGGAAGTTCTGGGTATCATGAATGCAATGACATAGGAACCCTAAACCCTAAACCCTGAAACCTCAACCTAAAGCCCTAAACCCTCAG